CATCCTAGTAATATAGTCGAACTTTCTTCATATGACTGATAAAATAAATACTTCTTGTTGTATCATTTAATTTATAAAAGTTTATGTTTTATAACATATTACTACAGTTGAGTACCACTATTACCTTGAATAAATATGTATAAATAGTGTGAATAATGTGCACATATTTGACCTCTAGAATGTAATTTAGCAACATATTTTGAAAACCACTTAATTTAAAAACTATACAAGTGGTTAGTGAAAGACAACCATGGCATCTACTGTGATTAGAATTTCAGTACTTTCTTATTCAACTTTATACGGTAAATAATGCATGAAAGTACTGTACTGTATACATATTTATCACAGCAGTACAGAAGTAAGAATTTTTTTCAAATTAATGGCATTTAATAGTTTATTATCAACGGGAGGACAAAAGGGTAGTCATGATGTTCAAACATAAGAGGATTATGGATAGATTTAGATTAGGATGACACACTAAAAAGAAGAAAGATAGAAACAAAAAATTAAAAAGAAAAGAGAAAGATGAAAAAAAGAAGGAACAGTGGGAAAAGGTAAAGAAAGAAAAGAAAGAGAGAAGAGGGGTTTACTGTTACTCTGGTATTACTGTACTTGCATGCACAACCAACGTACACTGGGCAGTCTAGGGAGCAACCAGATACCCACTTTCGCCATCTGCGCTTGGATGCCCTTGGCGACCAGTGCTTTCACAGCACCCTCTGCCGCCACTGGTGACTCAAAGTCTACAAATCCATAACCTATAACACAAAAGTTACAATAATAATTATTCAAAATGTAGAAGTATAAGATAGCTGATATATTACAAATAATAACATATTTATCTTATGGTATATTTTAGAAATATGATATAAAATTCAATTACCTTTACACTTATTCGTATTTTTATCCAAAATTGCCTTCGTAGAAGTAATAGTTCCATATCTGCAAAAACACAATGTATTAGAAACAATACAGTCCCCTAACATAAAAAGAAATGCAAGTTAGATTACATGAGAAGTTAGAAATCTTCTGACAATTGCTGTAAGCAATTGTTAATTCACTATTGACATTTAAAATTCTTACAATTACACGAATGACTTACTGAGAACACATGCTAACGAGGTCCTTGTCAGTTGTATTTTGGTTGAGGCCACGGATATACAAATTTGTTTTTGATAGTTGTTCTGCATGCTGTCCTTGTATAGCATTATTGCTAAGACTTGTGCTCATTGTCCCGCTTCGACTGCCAGTAGCACTGCTAGAACTACTATTAGTATTAGCTGGAGAAGAGGCTGTAGGCACCCGTTGTCCACCATACTGCAATACATTTAAAATCATGTATTAGTATAACAAATGTGTAAATTCACATGTTAAGTTCTATATTACATTGTGTAATAAACTAATATTTGTAATAGCAATTTAATGGTATGAAATTATTCTATATAAAAAATTACTTCTTAATTATTGACACATTATTTAAAATTTAAAATGGTAATAATAATTTTCATAATTTATTGACCAATATAACAAGCACTGGCTTAACGGTAAGCAATAAAATAAAAATTAAACAGCGAAATTCAATATTAGCTTTTTACAATTAAAGAAAGCAGCTGACAGTTAAACTCCCCAAAAATATATGTACATCGAACGCGTGTATGTAAAAGTTATTCTAGCCCCACCCGACATGAGGAAAAGTCAAGACTGCCGTGATAAAACATGCTATCATTTTTATATTTTATCACGCCTTCTACACGTATACTATTAGAATAGAACCGACTTTTATATTTTTTGACCCGTACTTATAATCATGCCGGTAAAACAACGCCACAAGCACAGTCAAAAAGAAAAGAACGTGTATGCGTCATTCTATATGAAGTACATACATATTTCGAAGAATCAATCGACAGGACTCACTACGAGTCAAGAGAAGGGAGAATCCTTAACGAAAGAACAAGAGAACGAACGACGGAAGTATTCGCACATCGTTTCTGCGAGAACTGTATGCCGCGTTGTCATGGCCCCACCCGGTTTAAGAAAGGGTTAACCCTTCCGCGCTGCGCAAAGCCTAACTTTTCTGCTGTCTGCGCGCGTGCTTCTTTGACAGAACCATAAATATCCACACTAAATCCACATTTAGAAAAAACAAGCATTACAAAAGAATCTACATAATCGACCGAAGCACTTTTTTTGTCCGAAGCACACTTTATAGGTTACCTTGGTGACTACACGAAACGTGTAAGACATTTGTGCTGCTCGATCACTCTCTGACTACTCGCTTACATGTAATCGACAAAGAATACCACCCCTTCCTATTTTCCTTTACTGGATAGTCATCTTTAACATCGAATATAAAAAAGAAAAAGAAAGAAAAAAGACCATTTATCAATTACGAATCGAATAACACGTCTTAACATTACGTAGCAAAACGGATGCCAAAAATTTCTAAAAACTACGACAAATATTTCCTACGAAGAATTGAACCTGTCGTTATTCTTAAACCAGCCATATGCCACCTAAAGTAAAAACCTATCAGTTTCCATACCTACGAACCCCAATCAGCAAAAAAAAAATGATTGCACAGTCGAAAACTATTGACCGTGGCGAAACGACATTAAGTATCCAATCGTACAAAGTTCGAGCTGGTCAGGAACGAAAGAAAAGGAGAGGAGAGGACTTACCGACGCGTGCTGTGCGTAGGTGGTGGTGGCGTAAGGATTCGCCGTAGGCGGTAGTTGCTGTGCTCCGACGGGCATCTGGCCGGCCGCAGCTGC